GATGCTTATTTTCGGGTATTAATAAATCTTGGTGATGCTTATTTTCGGGGAGTGCTTATTTTCGGAGGAATACGGTATAAACGAATGTAACGCATAGGATCTAACTTTAAAAAATCTATTCTTCTATCAATGAGAATTTAAAGTGTGGGATTATAACATTCTATATGAAACTATCAAATAGAAATTATTATTTATGATTATATTTTAATATCTTACAAGAAAAATATTTGTAAGATAATTTCTTTGTAAGATGTCTTAGGGAGTTAGAACAAGGAAATGGTATTAGGGTGCAATACAGAAAGAAGGATGTAAATTAAGGTTTGAGGTTAAGACAGTTATAATTTGAAATGTTTAGCAGGGCCTTGAAATCTTCCCCACTAATTCAGTAAATTATTGCATTTACCTGACTATATTGATTTAAGTCTTAGATTTTACATTGATGACACTTGGCACTTAATTATATATTTTTATTCTTGTATTTTTTTAAATCAGTTATTACATTATCTAAAGTGATTCATATAAATTGCTTAATTTCAACTTATCATAAACTTAATTTTAATCTTATTAAATCTTAATTTTAAACTAAATAATATACATTTTTAAATACGAATAAGCATTGATCGAAACGAAGAGTAAGAACAAAAAATAAAAAAATTACCAAATGAAGAAATGATACAAAAACGAAAATAAATATTGTATTGTTTTATACAATAATAACGATGAGCAAAAAAAAATTTCACGAAGCTATAGAATTCTTAGCAAATCGAGTCTTCGCATTGGCTTACCGTTAAATAGCAGTCGCCTTTCATAACAGATGGTAAAACGTTAACGGAATTTGGATTGACAGTGTAGGTCGGATTATCATCGAAAGGTAAATCAAAGGCATTTTGTAATTGTGTATCCCTAAATGTATGATACCTTCTTTTCCAAATATTCTTCTCATTTTCTGATAAATTATGCCATTTTCTCGAAATAATTTTACTGAATTCGATCTTATTGACGTTTTTTGGTTTATGTTTCATCATTTCTTTTCGATATTAGGTGACCTCTTAATCGATCGTATTCTTGGTTGAAAGTCACAGAATACTAATTGTATAGTTGAGTTTAAATTACAGAAAAAAGCATAATTAAATACTGATAATCAATAAAAATAACTTACCAACTAATAATAATATATTTTTAAATAAAAAATTTAGTTGAGTTTAAATTACATTAAAAAGTATAATTAAATACTGATAATCAATAAAAATAACTTACTATCTATTGTATTTTAAATTATTTTTTAAATAAAAAATTTAGTTGAATTTAAATTTCATTACAATAAAAAGTATAATTGATTAATTAAAATATTAACTTTCTAATATATTAGCATTTTTGATGTAACAATTATATTTTTATTATTAAACATAACTTACGTTCTATAAATAAAAATTTGGAGAGATAAAATTATTATAAAAATTTTTTAAAATAAATTAGTTATATTTAAATGCAATATAAAAATTTTAGATAACTTACTGCCTATGGTATCATTAATCATTAGATATTGTTTATTAAATAAAAATTCAATTAAATTTTATTTTAAAAAATTAAAATATTAATTTTGACTAACGATAGATAGATTATTCATTACCGTGCAATCCTTCTAATATTTTGAAGAACGTAGTTAAATTATAATATTTGTTAATACAAATATTTGTTATTGTATTTACCTTCATCATCACTCGGAACTAATCCTATATTTCAAATTTTAAATTAAATAATTTCATCACCCAAGGTTAGTTTAACATTACAATTTTCGTGGTATTGGTTAATTATTTATGTTTACCTTCATTACATGAAGCGTTAATTTGAATAAAAATGAGTATAATTAATGAATTATTATAATATTTAAATGTGGTTAATAATACATGGAATTACCGTTACCTTCTATTTCTTCTAATGAGGAAGCTTCCATAACATCCGAAAATGACTCTAATGTGAATTTGCGAAATAAATTTTTTTTTAGAAATCATCTAACCGTCAAATATCAAATATACTCATTTCAGGCGTGCTAAGTTTTATTTCCGTTATTTTGTGAAATCGTTTTTTTTGGCATTTCTATTGAACTTTTACCTTTATTGTCAGCAGCAGACATTGTTATTATTTTTAAAAGAAAGTTTTTTTTAAAAAAAAATTTTTTTCAACCCTAACGATAATAGAATATAATGGTGTCAAGATATGAAGATATTACCGCAGTATTTGAGGCACAGCACTTTAAGTATCATAACTTAATTATTGTATTTGAGAATTGTATTATGCAAGTTATTAATAAGGTATAGCATGATGCATACTATATCAAGCAAATTTCCACCTTAAAAAAAATAAATTTCAAATTTATAAAATTTTAAATTATAAGTATTGCGTCTTATTTAATTGATATTTGGGAGAAATGGGACTTAGCATTTTTTATTGAAATTTTAATTTTTGATTTTTGATAATGTTAGATTCAAATGCAATAAAATTAAAATTTCAATAAAAAATGCTCAGAGCCCCATTTTCCTAGCAAACCTCCCATTTAATTACCTTAGGCTGCAATTGTACTTCCGAAAGAAAATATGAAGAATGTATTTGAAGAGATAAATTACCTGAGGCTATATTTTAAAATATGAATATCATGGTTGAAAAATATGGTAAAAAAGTTTGGTTTATCGTATCGTATTAAGAATTATTAGGAATTAATTTCCATTGTTCAATCGACACCTTATAAGAAATTTTAATGCCTCCTAAGTTGATCGATTAATTTATAAAAGTATATTTAAAAGTAACCTTTTATTCTTTATCACATATATACTGTAGATACGGGGATTGTTGATCTCATCTCATAGGAATTTTTGATCGTAGAATAATTTAGTACGTTAACTTGCAATAGATTTCAATCAATGGAATTGTATGAAAATCTGATAGCAGAATAAGTGAAGTTTGAAAAGATTAGATTATAATATTCATTGAATTAGTGTCATTTACTACTCGCTATGGTAGTCACTTATTTTGGTCAATGTGGAAATATTAGAATTGATCATAATAAGTTCGGCAATTAGAATTATGAAAGAATGTATTCATAATACTTTCCTGATTTTTATACATATTATTGCAAGTAAAGCAATTTGAGAGATTTAATGATAGCAGATTAAAAATTTATAAAGTAGTAAAATCAACTCGTTATTTTTGGCTTGATTCCTTACCAATACATATATACAATAAATACTGAATTTAAAAATACAGGTATGTCATGATGAGATGAATATTTTTATATTGTATTGATTGTACATTATTTTTATTTTTTTAATATTATTTATTTTAGCTTTTTTTTTTTGATAAATATTTGTTTGCTTGATTATAGTTTATCTTTTTACTTATTAGAATAAATATTTAAAAAAGAAGTTAATATAATGTATTTTTACGTAAAATTATTCACATTGTTTTTAAAAGTTTATTCATAGAAATTAATTAACGAATAATAATTCAACCAAGTTTTTTATTTAAATGATTAATCAAAATGTTTACAGTCAATTTCATAGAATTAGGATAATAACTCGACATGAATTTAACGACAAAATTGTTATAAATGTTTGTCAAAAATAGTTAAAAGAAAATTTTACATATTAAGGTATTTGAGAAAATAATAAAATAAGCATCAAAGCATTAAATTTTTATATTCCAGTAAAGTTTATCATGTATACATTTCACAAAATATAAAGAAATGGTTAAATATTTATTGAAATATGTAGTTTTTAAGATTGAGGAAATAAATATTTTAAGGATTCAGGTAAATTTGGTAAGCTATCTATATCATTGTGCATGTAATAACACTTGAGTTTCGTTAAGGAGTTTGGTAGGATAGTCGAGTATGCGAGCAATTAAGTTCCTTTAATTTTCGATATCTTTGTAATCCTCCTAAGGCGTTAAATATGTCATCCTTATTAAGTTCTGTAATGTTTAAACTTATAATAGTATCATCATAAATTATATTTGATACTTCATTATCTAATTCTTCTACAGTTATCTGATCAAAATTATGAATAATTCGGAATTATTTGAAACATAACTTAACTATTCCTTTGATTATTTATCTGAATAAATCGAATAATTCTTCAAATGAATTATTTATACTTGTAGAAGCATCTATGTTACACAAAAATGTTGCTGAAGATTAGATTTATAGTTATTCGATTGATTATTTTCAGCTATGCTTGCTATGCTTGTTATTGCAATAATTGCATTTAATTTAATGATACCCTGAAATTAATAAAAAAATTTAATAACCATTTATATACTTATAAATAAATTCATGATCATATATTTAACAGTATAAATGTTCAAATAATCTTCGGGTGTGTCGGGAATTATCTTTTCTCTAAGTCCTCCTAAAATTTCGATGGTTAAACTTATGTTGTATTCTTCATCCTTAACATAAAATGGAGGTCGACCGCTTGATAGCTCCCATAAAAGTACGCCAACACTGTAAAAGTCGCTCTTTTCGTTTAGTTTAAATTTTGTTAATGTATTGTCATTACTTCTTCTGCTAAAAGTTTTTGGGTCAACATAAGGAATTACTCCAAAAGTTCAAATGTATTTGACTGATTAGTTGCTGCTTCAATCCTTTTTGATAATCCAAAGTCAGCTAGCTTCATTACACATTAATGAATTAATCATTGCCGGAATGTGTTGATGTTAGTGTTCTAATAAATCGGCGGTATTATTTCTATTTTTCATAAAAAACGGAAATATTCAATGAATGGAAAAATATAATATGTTAATTTTTCCATTCTGCTGTCACTTCTTGATAAGTTCAAATATTATTAATTATTTAATCATCCTTACATTGCTTTTAAAAAAAATTGTCTTATATTCAAAACCAAACGTTGCTCTTCTAAATTGGTCATAAATTAAAATTTTCGCTTCAACTATTAAAATAATTCGATATTAATTACCTTTTTTCGATGACTATAAGCGATTTCATAGCAGTTCCTTGTATTGTGTTGGATTAGTTAAGAAGAATTAGTGTTATCTTTTTTGTTAAGTCATTCAGTTGGATGTTTTTTTATTTTATTTTTTTTTATTTTACTTATAGATCCTTATTTCTGCTCAAAATAGTTCTTAATTTAAACCAATATTTTATAGAAGATCAAGGAAGGTTCGATCGTGACTCTATGATCTATCATTATCGCTATCATCCATCATTAGAACATTGCATTAAAACGACAATGACGAAAATGATAAAAATATTATATTAGATGCTACGATTGAACCGAAAAGTAAAAAAAAGTTAAATAGAAAAATTGAAAAATAATAACGAAAATAATAATAATGAATCTAAAAAAAAATCTCTTTTATCGTAATATTCGAATAAGTATCTCTACTTCTTATACTCCAAAAAGAATATCGCTGTCGTTGATGGTAATTTTATCTTTTTCCTTTTGAGTCTTTGTTGTGTGTGGCGGTATTAACTAACCTTACTTTAGCAGTTCTTAGTATACGAAGAAACAATAAATATACTCCTGTCGTATATGGAAAGTTGGGATGGAATG